ATTTATTAGATTATTTTTGACATCCCAATATTTGTTTCTTGGGGTGCTATACCGAATTGTCGTCTGAATCAACAGTTGAATATAGACTAGTACCCAGACGCGACCGCGAGATTTTTTCCGGAGATAATGTACTCTAAAATTTCCCAACAATATCCTACTTCCTTGTGTTTTTGATTTTCTGTGAATCGTATTTGTTTTATTATTCATTTGCACCATTTTGACAAATATGTAACCCTTAATTGACATACAATTGATGTCATTATTTAAGTAATGAATATTTTAGTATATTTTGATATAGCCGGCGTAGCTTGATTGTACTTTTTTACTCTCAAGGATTTTTTTTTTCAAGATTTTACTACTATAAATTGCTGTAATTTAACTTGACATGCATATTTTTTTTTCTTAATTAAAGTTTCTTTAAAGGGAAAAAAATGAAAGTTCATGTTGATACCTCAGGCAATGTCAGAGGAAAAAATAAGAATAAAAAATTGGGGGGAAATTATTGTCATGACTTGTACGTTTTTGATACACTATGCATGAAGCACACAATTTGAAATAGTCGTTATAGTCTTGTATGACTTACTTTCCTCAATTGGAGCCTTGAGTCCATAGCTGACGCTCTCTTGGCATCTGGTGACATTACTGGGTGCTGGAGGAACACAGTTTGGAGTCGCTTGATTAATGGAGTCGAACCTCCAAGGACAGAAAGTGCTATTCTGAGATTGTGGAACTTCCCGGAAGTAGTTCGGGTGTTGTGGTTCTGCAGCATACGCCGGGTTCATCCCCACGCCATTTACTCCGGATGCATACATGGAGTTTGCGGGACAAATACCCAAATTTTCCAAAATGTCTGGACTCGGATTTTGTCGACAAGGGGGCGAGTTAAGTCCAAGAATTTCATGTATTGCAAATGACGATCTTTGTCCTGAGTTCGGAAGAACGTTCATTTGCGAGTAGTTTCCAGTATTCATGTTACCATAATGGTGTTGGAATCCCATCATTGCTTGCGAATTATTGCCCAGAAGGGGATTCATTGTCAATGCAAAAAGTGGTGTCCTCCCAAATGTCTTCAAAAGAAAGTCTCTGAATGCAGGCAGTGCAAATAATTTGTTAAACAGGGTGTACACAAAACGATGCTCATCTGTGCTTTCAAACGACCAATTTTACACTCAAAGAGTGCTCCAAACTTGCACCAACTAATTGGAGATTCCCGCTAGGATTTATCGCAAATTCTTATTTAAAATTTTAAGAATACACTACCAATTCAACAAAATCTCGGTAATTTAATAATCAATCAGAAATTCGTCAACTTTTTATACATATGTTATCAGTTTAAAGATGTTTGCAAATGCGCGAGATTTCACGGGATTTTGATTGACTGCTAAAGACGTGTAATTGGCGATTGTTTTCCGGTCTGTACCTCCCACCTGTTTGAATTTGAAATCCCTAACCAAATAGAGACGGCCAAGTGTTTGTCAATCATATAAACTTTTGACGGCTTTCTAACGATTTACCGGGTCAAATGAAAGAAATAAACACGTATTCTCACTTCTAAGAACATCCCGCTGGGCTGATTTTACAGTTTGGTCTATAAAGTATTCAGTTTGGAGCTCTTGGCAGTTAAAATGTTTAGGTATTCCCGGTAACTCTGTGTAATATTAAAAAAAAAAAAATAAGGAAAACTGTTTTTAAATAATGTTTTTTCTTCAAATTTTAGTTTCGAAAATATAGTATAAAAAGATTATTCTTAGTGCCAGTTATGATGCAACGTAATTGGCACTTGCTGCGGACCTGTTGATTGTGTTTTGACGAAAGGGATGAAATTTGGTAATTGTCCCTTCTGTCCGATTTCCCGGTGCGGGAAGAGGTCCAATTATCAGCTGACTACAATAAAGGGACAAGACTTCCCGCGTGGCCATGCGGAAACGGGTATCGACTAACGTCTTGACAACTGAAGAAATGTCTACGGCGTGTTGCCAGTCATCCACATTTGCCATCAAATGTCCATGTGTGTCAGGTGATAAGTTCGCCGCTCTTTTCTCTGAGTATGACACGTAAAACATTTAAACCAACAAATTATGTGGTCATTTTTCCAACTTGTGACACTTCACAATATTTCCATCAGGAATGTTTGAACGCATTTCTTTGTCCAGTAAAACGTACTTTTCAGGTTAATATTTAAATTTTTTGACTGTCATCATTATTTATTAAATTACGTTTAGTCCTTAATTTGCTTAAGGAATCCATTTTTGACCAGGAAAAAGGTGTTTCCAAATCCACGGGTCCGAAAAAAATTGGATGACTGTAATAAATGAAGTCTACTATGTACATGCAATTGAGTGGATACATAAACGATATTTATTATATTGTATATCCAAAAGTTTTAGTATAACAAAACATTAAATGGACCTGAAAAGGGATAGAGAGAGCGAGAACCAATAATCAATAATTAGAAAATACATGTACAGTGTATTACTATAGATATATACAAATTTTAGATTTTATTAATTAATTCATGCAAGTTGACAAGTTTATCCTCAAAGGTAAATTTTGATTTTGGCAAATTAGTTTCAAACAAAGATTTCCAACAATATATATTCACATTTACAATTAAATTAGATTGTTCTTCTAAGGAATACGTTACGATGTATAATACGACATTTTTACGTTGATTCATGCTGTTATCCGATTGGTCGGTTTCCTTTCTTCTAGATAATACGAGCTAATGAACAAACCGCTAGTTCTTACAAGTTATACTTAGAAAGAAAGTTGGATTATCAGAAAATCAAACAATGTTAAGCTATCTGATGTTTTATTAACAGTAAGAGCAACTTTTGCTCGTCTTTGTAAATATACGGATACATGTAGTACGTTTTGTAAATATATCTCTAAATATTGTTTTCTGTTGAAAGATTGTATTCAAGCTAATCTTTTACCTTTTTCTTAGCACAAGTAATCTGAAAACCTGAAAGGAACTTCTCACATGGACGTAGGAACCGGGGGGGGGGGGGCACGGGGGGCCCCAATGATTTTGCCGATATATAGAATGCTACATCGTCGGAAACCACGGGTTTTCTCTCCGTTAAACTACGTTGAATATAGTGTAACGGATCGAGAGAAAACCCGTGGGTTCCGACGATGAGAATACTATAGAAAACATGCCTACTATATGCTTGTGCACCCTCAATAATAACGTCTGATTGCCTTAATTTTTTTTTTTGCTTGTCAAAGAGTTTTTGGTAGTTGATAGTGCCCCCCCCCCCCCAACCGAAAATGTGCGGATGTGCCCCCTCAAAGTAAAATTGCTTCCTACGGGCCTGGTCTCATACTATAATTTTGAGAATTTCCAATGACAATCTATTTCATTTTATCAATCTAAAATATTCACAAGTAAAATATACAATAGAACTTGGATAAAACTTAATTAGCGGGGGAAAATTAACAATATACAAGGCTGTAACTAGGCTCAAATTTTTAGTGAGGCAAGAGAGGGATCTAGGGCCGGGGCCACCCGAGACCGAAGCGGGTCCAGGGTAGAGTCCTTATGGGAGTTACGGGGGGGGGGGGAGGGAGTTCCCTAAACCTGGGTTTTAGCAAATTAAAGACTTAATCTTTGAAAGTTTCACGTTTTAAATTTTTTATGTATTCTAAACTATAATGAAGCACCCGGTGAGATGATCGATTTAGAGAGACTGAAACATAAGTTGAAAGCATTAATTTAGTACAAACTTTTTTTTCATTTTTCAGAAAACTCTAAAATTTTAGTGAGGCTTCTGCCTCACGGTGATAAATAAATGTACATGCATCTCTAGTTTTTCAAAATAAAAAAAAATGGATCATTTTGTTAGTGTGAACTGAAAATGCAAGTACTCCTTACTTTAAAACATGTACAGTGTACAAATGTATGAGGAGTATTTTAACTGGAATTACTATATCTTTAAACTTATATTTGATCCCGATTATCTAAAGATGGATTAGCGTGTAAGATAAACAGTGATTCATTTTGTTTGGATATCCAATCGCAAACCCCCTCCACAAGAGTCTTAAAATGCAAAGTAAACAACAACACATGCGGAGTCTAGTGATTTTGTACCGTGTAAAAGACCGCGTGCTGTTTTTGATGTCTCTTCTTGAGTAAAGTGTCGAGAGAATGTTGCATTCAGAAATCGTAATGCACTTGGCTTAAGTATCTGTAGTTGAATTTTCAATAATTTATCAAGAAAAGTGTGCAATTGCTTTACACACTATTTTTTTTTAAATCATTATCCGATTCTAAATCAAACAACGAAATAAAACGAAACGAAAACAAAACAAAAACCATAACAAACAAAACAAAAAAAACAAAAACAAACAAACCTGCAACATCATTTATTTACTTATTACACTTTACTTAGTTCAACTCTCACGTACATGTAACATGAAATTCCATTACACGCACACAGACTTTGCAATGCTGTCCTTTTGGTTTCTCAGTAAAATACTTACACCTTTGCAACTGAAATGTTTTTTTTTTTTGATATGATGTAAATCAAATTCAAATGGTAGAAAACAATTTCAGAACGACAGTACTTTAAATTGGATTTTAGCTAGACCTTTCTTTATTTTGGTGTTTATCCAATTCCTCAATAAATGGACAAATACATGTAGCTACCGGTATATTTTGCAAGTATAGTGAAAATTAATTTACAGAATTCTGATGAGAGTATTTTTTAATCATTGAAATACAGTGAAAAATATATTATTCAAATTCAAAAGCAGGCATTTGGTTAACGAGTTTAACGTCATGAAAAAAATTTCAAAATATTTTTTTAAGAAAAAGGGAAAAATATCCAAGTTAGCTCGATTATTTTATCCATTTACTCTTGTGATTTGATTGTAAATATCTATCAAGTGAAAATTTTAAAGATAAATACTCAAAAGATTACACACAATCTGTCAGACAATTATATATTTTAATATGATAATTACAATACATTTAGTTGAAGGTATACTTAATATAAAATGTATATTATTGGTTTGTATAAATAGATCAAACAACTTCAATTTCTTCATTTCCAAGTGTTTTGTCTGTGTCAGAACGAGGCTCTTCAAATCTGCTGTGATAAGGGCTCGAGCTCCCGTCCTCGCTGTCCGAATCGGAGTTGTCACAAAGTTCTGTTCCGATTTTTGCGTTGTGCTCTTGTGCTCGAGCACGTAGAGTCGCGATGCTTTCCGATCGCCGTTCGTCTCTATCACGTATGTCTGGAGATGACGTGTCTGAACGGATCTCATCAACATTTTTTAATTTTTCCGCAGCTTCTATGGACTTTTTGTGCATGCCTAATAAAAGAAAAACAGCAACAAATTAGCTTTTATGCGGGCCTATGGATATGTATAAAATTTATCCAGATTTGATATGAAACGAATCTCTCAGAAATTGATATTTAAATGAAGATGAAAAAATGCGCATAGACGAGAATGTTTCAAAATGCTATAGTAGGATGTTGATTTAAACATATTTTATTGAATAATTGTCAGTCGGATCGGACACAGGTTTGAGATGTTCCCTATGCATTGTTACATTTCTTCTTAAATACATGTAATGAATATATAATGAATATATATATATATATATATATATATATATATATATATATATATATATATATATATATATATATATATAGACCTGCAAGTATACAACAATTTATTGAAAATATCAAGACATACTTAAAAGCCAGGGTGCACATGAGTCCACGACGCCATCTTGAGCACTTTTAAGGATGGTTTCTGGAAGCGGTAGAGAATGGCGAACCATTGCACCATACAGTCCATACTCCGCCATAATGCTGCTTCGACCCCATGTCTTCTCCGTTTTCCGCCACTTTGCCCGACGGTTTTGGAACCAAACCTGTAACATCCACAATTTGTTTTAATTTTTAGGTCACCTAAGATTGCTACATGTATTTCGTCCGTTGTGTGAGTTAAATTTTTAAGCATTTTCAGCTGCTTTTCAGGAACGGCTCAGTCAGTTACAAACTAATTTTGGATCAAGGAGTACAAAAGTGAAGGAAACCAAAAATTATTAATTTCATGACCTCTAACTCACCGGAGCCCGGGACTTGTGGCCAAAACCATCAAATTATTGCAATGTTCAAAAAATTTTCCTTGACATCAAAGTATTAAATTGTTGGCACATTATAATAAACAATTCGAGTTCTATATCGAAATTCTTGAATTCATGACCCTGGGTTCAGACCCCAGAGTGGGGCTAAATTCTTCATATATTGAAGGTCCAGTATACCCCAGGAAATCTTTCTTTTTACTCCAGGGCACCGATGACAATATGCAAGGAGGCAAACTATTGACATGACTGTGATAAGTTTGCCCTTGGCAAAATTGTGAAATCATCGCATGGGGTTAAAGTTCAGGCCACAAAGCGGGGATAAACTGGTGACGTACTGAAATAATTTTTTTTTTTTTGCATAATTACAATAGACATTGATCCATCTACGAAAAATGTGAATTTTTTGGATCCTAGAGTCCAGGCCCCAGGGTTGGATGAACTTCGTCATTTATTGAAATAATAAATAATATATTATAAATATATATATATATATATATATATATATATATATATATATATATATATATATATATATATATATATATATATATATATTTAATTCCCCTTTACTACCAGACATAAAGCAACCAAATCATTGGCTTTGTTGCAATAAGCACTTAGTCCTCTACCGAAAATCAAAACTTCACGCCTCAGGCCAATGGTTTATATTGCAGGGTGGGGTGAAATTGGCCATATATTGAAAAATGCATTACACTTTGGAATATCTTTCTTTTATCATAAACATCTATCAAGCAAACTGTTTAAATGATTATCCTTTACCAAAATTTTAAAAATCGTGGTCCCTAGATGGGACTAAGTTGGTTATATTTTGAAAATACAGTACACCTCTGAAATTTTTCTTTTTTGTGCACATCTGTAGGGCAAATTGTTTGCATGATTACATTGACTACTTACATGTACATATCTCTTGCCAAGATTGTAAAATGTATCCCCCGTTCCCCGGGATTTAGGTTTTGGGTCCAATGATGGGCCTTCAGGCCACATTTAGGGGATGTGTAGGTTATATATTGAAACTACCTAGCTGGAAACAAATTTGCATGATTAAATGGAGCAGTTAGCAGTCTAAAACGTTCCCCTGGTCAAGGGTGCATGATCTAGGATGATACCGAGTTTTTAATAAGAAAATACCTTAGACCAATGAACTATCAATATTCATGATTATAATGAGCAATTAGCCCTCTCTCAAAATTATGATTTTAATGTTTCCTAGGTCCAGAGTTCAAGCCCAGGGTGGGCTATGTTGGTCATATATTGATAAAACATGTACATTATACACATGTACATGTATGTACATCTTTGAAATTCTAAAGGAAAATTTTGTATTTGCCATTGTTCTTGTAGCGTGTAAAGGAATTTCTTTTTTTTACAATAAACCGCTAGCCCTCTACCAAGATTTAGAAATTTATATCCCCTGGGTAAAAAAAAATTCAGTTGGTCGAATATTGAAAATTTATTACATACACATGTAGGATACCTTTGAAATCTTATTTATTCATGGACATTTAGCGAGCAAATTTTATGCACGGTGAAAGTATGCCATCCCCTTTACTAAATTTGTGAAATGCGAGTCCTCAGAGCTGGGGCCCAAGGGAGGGACTTAGTCAATCACTTCATTTTTTGGCAAGCTTTCCTATTCCCAATCAGCTAGGCATGTATTTAGTGAACATGGAGATCTCATCAAATTATATCTGCATGTCACATGAGTCCAGTTCAAGTTCCTGTTGGGTCTTAGTTGGTCATTTTTGGAGAAACTCTTGATGTATAGGTGACCGTCAAGGCCCCTAGGCCTCTTGTCATCACTTGAAGTAGTCTTGGTTAAATTAACGACCATTAAATAGTATATGTAAATACGCTGTTAAAGGATAATCGGTTGTTTAATCTAAATTCGCAATCTTCCCTTCTGCATATTCTCCACGTCTGATAACATAAAGAGCAGTAACTCCTTTTTTAATGATGGACTCCTTTGACAAGAATTCTTTTGAACATTTTTAACTTTATTTTTCACCCACTCTTTTTATTCTTTATTCAATTTTTAGTAGAAATATTTTTAAGGGCACTTAATAGAATGTTACTCTTTCGGATGTAATAAAACTACGTTTTGTGTCTCCGAGTCATCCATCTTTTACTGCAGAATGACGAACTGACAACCTAATTATTATCATAATTGCATTAGCTGGTGTCTTCCGTACAAAATGCCTTTTAAATTTTCCGTTATGAATTAGAAACTTATTAATTGGTATCCCGGCGCATGCGACGCACGTGATTCTCCGGATTTTGCGGGAAGCCTCACGTTGGCGGAGCTTTGCCGCCTCGGTTGGGGGTTCCCGATTTCTAAACTCAAACCGTTAATCCATATTTCACAAATAAACCCCAGACCGCACGACTGTATACACAGATTCTTTTTAATGAGTAATTAGAGTTCAAAAGAAACTGTGCTTTAAAGCAATTATTCTTCGGAAGAAAGGATTTCCTAATTTAGAAACATAAAAGAATAAGGATACTCCTTTCAGAAGTTCAGTATTTATTACATGTATTTGCAGTTTTTCTTATATAGAAAATAATCTTTAATAAATATCACAGGATGAAACGATGCAATTCAGTTAACTGAAAGTTTACTGCAAGGTGACTGAATGGCAGAGCTCTGCCATTCGGCCATCCTTCCAGACCTCTCAGTAAACATTCAGTTGACTGAATAACACAGTTTCATCCTGTGCATAGTCTTGATTTTTCCTAAATTCATCAAACAATTACATGTATTACTAAAATAAAAAAGTAAACAGTTCCCCCTAAAGTATGTAAGTTTAATCACGAAGGGTTTTTTAAATGTCTCCAATGAAAATGAGACAGCAATGTAAAACACACCAAAATTACTGCACTTCTATTTCACATCGTACGAAGGATCTACTTGTATAACTCTTAGTTTTACTTGATTAAATTTTCAGATAATTAGACAAATGCAGACACTTTGTAAAAGTTCGCTTATTGACAATGACTAAATTTCTTGGAAGCAGACCTCTTTCTATAAAACTAAATTTACATCTATTAAACAATTTCAATGAACATTGAAAATCTTGCAATCTTCTCTACATTGGGCATTCCTTTTTTCTTTTTTAATTCTGTTCAGATAAACTTTTGTGGTGATGGGTCCATGTGCTTTACGAGATTCGCAATTAAAGTCCACTTTAATAACAATCGCAATTTGTTGTATTTGGTTTATTTACACGAACGAATTCATAGCTAATATCCATTTAAAAGTGTTTTTCCGTTAAACAGAGGTTGGTTGGCGATTTATTTCTTTTTTCCGGATAATTCTCAAACCACAGAATGGAGTTCTGCAATTAGATTTTCTATTCCGGCAAGATGGACCGTGAAAGAATAATGTGCAAAATCTGCAAGTGCGAAATTCGATGACACTAGATTCATTCTCCAAATAAAGCCATTATGATCTAGAGCTGATTTCAGTGATCTGGACTTTATTCCGATCTCTGTTCTTTGCACTAAACCATAGAAATCTCGTTACTTGAAGAGATGCGGATGCCCGGTTTCCCGCCAATAAAACCCGGAGCAGACGATCCCGCGCTCTACAGTTCTAAGCAATTAGCTTTTAATTGAAAATGGTCACGACAGATAAAATTGCATTAAATATAACAAATCTATTAATTGAAATCACATAACTGAGGCAGCAATCACTCGAGAATACTGCTAATCTATTATTATACAAATGGATCAATTCCCCTGGCAGGTTTGAATGAGCGCAGAGGAGATGACGACACGTACAGACATACTATATGTAACAAAGCGTATGTAAGGCATCGGTGTCTTCATGTACATAAATTTACATTTTCATTTTTTTTTTTAAATTCTTTGCAAATTAGAAAAAGTTTACTTTCTCGTGAACTACCGCGGTGGGATAAGTAAGAATATTTCCAATGTGATGTGAATGAAGTCAAAATCCAGTACAAGCATTTTTTTTTCTCAAAAATGATCGTTGAATGACAAAAATATGTGGCAAGTCATCAGAAAAATAATGTAAATATAAGACATGAATTTAATTTTTGAGAATTCATGAGGTACATGAACTACAACGCTTTACGCCTGCATATTCATCATGAAGCGCGTCCAAGAAGGGCTGATCAATGCGCTTCATGAAATTTGCCGGCGTGAAGCGTCGCAGTTCATGTCCTCATGAATTCTCAAAAATTAAATTCATCTCTTAAATATACATGGCTAACGGTCAGTGAATGAGTGGCCAGAAATTATTTTAATCAGGATATTAAAATAAAGGCATGAATATTGAAAAAAATTTACGAGCATAAATTTCAATGCAATCCACCCCCTTACCCAGGAAAGCACTATTCTATAATCTTTTAACGTTTCCATGTAACGTATATGAAAACATTTATGGAAAATGAAATAACATTTCACTATATAAGGGATTCAATGGTTTCTCACTATGGAAACCATTGAAGACCGTACATTTTATCACTAATTCTAATTGTTTAATCAATTTAATGTATCATTTTGTACCAATCATGCTAGAACACAAAGTATGACATCTTTGTATTTAAACGTAGTCGATATAAAGATGTTGCACTGTATCACTATCATTCACAGAATTTTAGGAATACCTGTATCCGGTCTTCTGGAAGACTTGTCTTCAAGGCTAGCACCTCACGCGCATAGACGTCTGGATAATGTGCATCTTTGAAGGCTTTCTCCAATTCTTCGAGTTGGTAACTTGTAAATATTGTCCTACAAATATAAAAGATAATATTTCTGCAGTTCAATACCTATATTCTCTAAATGTAGCTTAATGGAATGAAGAATTTCATGAGAAAAAAAGGAATCACGAATATTTAATAAAATTGTGCAGTTTTGATTAAATTTACGGCAATTATCATCAGATATTAATCGTAGAACAAGCCAATTTAAAGTGTTTGTCATCCAATTTTGGTAGATGACCATGTTCTTTATTCTGCATGGAAAAATACCATGGTCCGTCCCGGGGGACCATTTATGAACATTTTGTTATCGATTGTCGTCAGATTGACAAATTAGCTGTTGTTTGTCAGCGTCGTTCCTTGCACCAAGGTTGAACTAATGTTGCGTTTTTAATGTGCTCTTCCTAAGTCGTGTTATTTTTTTTTCTATCCATCTCATTGTATATCGTCACCAGCTTACTGGTTTAATCTCGGCGATAGATCTATTCTCCCTGCAATTTATTAATTGCCCGATGACATTAAAATTTATGCCTAATAGGCTAATACTCTTCTGTAAAATTGTATGCCGATGCGGAAAATGCTAATAAAATTGTCGATATTAATTATACTGTCTCCGAAGAACAAGCGCGAGTGATCGCCAGTTTTTCCTGTGATCGGCTAGGCTCCCTCACGCGATCCGACTGTCCTTTATCTAATTCTGAGAATGATCAAGGACTTAAAAAGATAGTTTTCCCTGTCCAATGTTTTATTTTCACGCATGTCAGTATCCTTATTAAAAAAACAAAAAAACAAAACAAAACTTTATTAGTATTTTTGATGGAGGATACTTAGTACACCACTTTGCTTATAAGGGATCGGTATCTGAAATAAATTACCAATGTCCATTTTAAAATTTTATTTATTATGATTATATTAACGCTGAATTTCCTAACTTTGAATTAAATAAAAATGTTGAATTAACCTTTATATTTATTTTTTTTTTTTTTACCTGTGTCGCCTTTTCTTTTTCTTCTTCTTGCCAACAACATGAGGTTCCGTATTTTCATAGCCCAGTTTTTCACTATTCGACTGCTCGGAAGCTACAAAAAAAAAGGAATCAGTTAAAAGTAAACTAATAAATAAATCAGCTTTGGAAATTCTATGTCCTCTATGCTCTTTTTCAACTATAAATAAAAAATGAAGACAAAAAAATCTCTGACTCTTATTTTAAATTGCAGGTCATTGCAGAAACCCTTAGATAAGCAAGACACTTAACGTGAAAATTTAATAATATTTGAAACAGCCATTCACTTTTTATGTTATACACATGTATATTTGTATGTCAGTACAAAAACGGCAGGCAACGTAAACTTAATAATCTAAAAGAAAAAAAAGTACTGAATTCCAAAAAGTGAAAAGCAGGAATAAAAAAGTTAAATTTGGGTCAATAAAATATACATTATTGATAAAAATTCCAATTTTCTTCCATAAAACAATTTGTCAAAATCATATGGCGAGTGGGTTTTTGGTTTCTAACACACATATATTTTCTTTTCATCACCATGATGCTGTTGATGCGATTGTAATTTAATGAAGCATGACTTGGCGTGAAGTAGTTGTTAATTAGGGAAATATGTTGATTCGATCTACATTCATATATTCAACTGAATATTAGATTGTATAAATAACATCGATACAATCTTTCCTATGGACTTCAATGGATTCATAATTTCTCACGCATTTGACATATTAGAATGGAATTTTCACGCAAAAACTATTTCACTTTGAATATGATTCCATAAATAGCAAGAGGCATACTTGATGATAAAAAAAAAAAAGGGAAAAACGAGCTTTCCAACATGAGATCGTCTTAGCCCTACCCTGGGGCAAGAACTTCAGACCGGTGCAACATGATATTGATAGGGGACTACAATGTACTTGTTCATTATCCCATGCATTTGTTGGCTACTAGTTGCATTGGAGTAAAGAACATTTTAAATTTGAATATAATACTCCAAGAATTTGTCCTGGCGAGAGGATATCTATATAGGATCTCCCATGATTTGTAGTTGGATATGATTTTTATCCAACGAGTTGTGTGTTTTTTTATCCCCGAGCCTTGGCGAGGGGAAAAAAAACACAACGAGTTGGATAAAAGTCATATCCAACTACAAATCATGGGAGATTCTTTTTATCCCATGTTTAATACTTCACAACCAATGTTTTACACTGTTTTATATAGGACTCCACTTTATTTTACTTCATCGCGCTAACGCAAAAACCATTGTGACGTCACAACTGTGGATTATGAAAAATTTATCCAATGAGTCATATCCACGGGATAAAGGGGTAAACATGGGATAAATATATATATATATATATATATATATATATATATATATATATATATATATATATATATATATATATATATATATATATATATATATATATATAACTACCTTTTTTCCAAAAAGCAAAGGAAATTAAAAATAAACTGAGTATTTAATGTTTGATCAGTATGTGACACGAACCAGGCCCGTAGCAACAGTTTCAAAAGGGGGAGGGGCAACTTCCCCAAAGAATTTGACAAGGAAAAAAACAAACAAAAAACCTAAACTGACCAATAGTTGGGGGGGGGGGGGGGCTATCCAAAATTATCTGACAAGCAAAAAAAAATATATAACAAACAAACAAACAAACCTTATTTACTGTCCAAATCCTGAAATTTGTCATTCCTCCACCTTACAACTACTAAGTGGGAGGAAATTTATTTTAGCAAAATACTATACTTAGAACAAAGTGGGGGGCCTTCTGCCCCCCTTCCCCCTCTCCGGCGTTAAACGGGCCTGCGAACCATAGTGAAGATGAATGCACATTACATTGCACATATAATCTTATCTGAATTTCCAGAAGTAAAGACCTTGATTACTTAATTCATTTATCAATATATGATCAGCTTAGTACAAACATTGAGGCTTAAACACTGGACTCAGGGGAAAATAAATTCTTTTATTTAGGTAGAGGGTTCATAAAGTTTCCTGGAGCGATAAAATGTTGAATAGTTTAAAAATTGGGAGGTTTTAGTCCCTCCCCTCAGTTTCAAAGCAAATGTTGAATACGAAGTTCTGGATTTCTAAACCTTAACGATGCTTTTTGTAATAAATTGATTAAAATTTGTTTAACAATGTCACAGAAGAAACTGAAATTGTTCAAAAGTATACCAAAGACGACTTAATGATGAAAACGCATAGCAAAATAGGACACCTGTGATTTAAACCATGAACAAAATTTTAATTGGACAGAACTACTTTTTGTCATTTCTCATCAACTTTCGTAAAAGTAGTCAGTTTTGAAAAAATAAAAGAAGTCAAACTCTATCGTTTTCTTTTCTTGCTTTATGAAAAAGGAAGTTTATTTTTCATCACTTTGAATTGAAATGAAGAATTATGGTTTCTCTGCTATATACAGACTAAGAAATGAACATGATTAAAAACTGTTCCATGTAATGATAGTGACCTTGAATAATAGTTACCAGAGATTCCATACCTCACAATGTATATATAACGAGGTTTTTATTCACTCTCTTTCTCCCCCCCCCCCCACTCCATTCTGCGTCAACAAAAATATTTAAAAACAATTCGGTGAAAGATTTTAATTTTCTACATACAACAGTTGTTATTTGCAATAAATATATTTTCTTTTTTGGGAGAACACGGATTCTTTTCAGACTTTCACTTCGGTTTTTATTTTTCTAGAAAAAAATCTAGGTTTTAGGAATGTGATAACTTTGTACAAATATTTATTGTACTTGTTAGATTTAAAAATATGTGTCATTATGTGTCACTTTATATACATACAGCACGTATAAACTGTATATACATTTGCGCAAATTGTTTTTTACATTTTGCTTATCAAAGTACTCCATACTATCATCAGCAGAAAATGTTAATTTTAGATTTCATTCCTTCAATTCGGATTTTTAAAAATCTTTTATTGATATAAACGTTTTAATCTTGAAAATACTTTTAGTTGTGTTAGTCATAACATTTTTTTTCTTTCTTACTTTCCGACTGCAGTATTTGGATTTGATCACACTGAACCCATTAATACACCTAAACTGGGTGTATTGTGAAACATATACTTCGTAATTAGTACCCGCTAATAACAAATGATCGGCAATATCATTATTGGCCCCCTGTTACACAGGGAGTAGTTCAGGGTAAATATACTATTTAATCAGGTACCCAACACACGTAGATATCCAATACTTCGAAAGAATACGACATAAAATATCTGGGAAAAAATTCCTCTGGGACCCTTCAGGGGCCGTATTTGAAGGCCGAACAATATTACATTGGCATTTATCCATATTAACAAATTAAACAGTGATGAGATTGTCAATAGGGGGAAGAAATTTACAGGTGAATAATTAGCAAAGTAAAATCTGAGTAATGTAGGGAATTTGATAGAACAAGTTATGTTTATTAGTACAGATAAGTGTTGTAATGTATAGAAGAATTCGAATAGAAGTCAAACAAATCAAGACTTTCGTTTTTCTTAATTAGTTGAGGTCGAGTCAAAGATAAGAAATTAGGCATTGATTTGTATATTTTCAGTAGCAAAAACACTGATTTTGGGGGTGTCCGGCGTCTTTTGTTTGTTTGTTGATGCATTAAGTTGGGAAAATTGACAGAAAACGTTACCGATTAGCAGGAGGGTGGTCACGTATATTTACACAAAAGTGAATTAGCAAGGAAAAAGTGTCAGAAACTTATTCAGATCCATGAATTATTCTTAATTCATTTTGTCTTCTTTTTAACTCAGATTTTGAGATACCCCCTATGAATTTTGCGATTAAGACAATAATATTCCTTTATTCAAAGTTATTATATACCATAAAGTTATTATTACCGTACAGTCGGTAAAAATAGAATTAGAATGAAGCACATGGTGCCTTACGTTATGAAGTTTGATGAGTTACAAGAAAAAAATGAAAGACCAGAGACGATTACTATTATTTTGGGCATTTAAAAAATACAGCTTTTTTAAATTTTATAGTATAAAAAATCAATTGAAGTGTAAATAGCAGATTAAGTATTGAAATTAGTTCGGAGAAAAAGCTGATGATTTTGCAAAACAGAAAGAATTGGGTGATATTATAATTATGAAAAAAACCTAATGTAATAAACATAAATGTATGAAATTGAGAAGTAAACACACAGCAAAGGTAAAATAATATCGATTCAAATTTAAATATTTTATTCGAATTCTATATCCATGAAATAATGTTTCCTAAACACTAAATTTTCTCTCTCTTTTTTCAATTAGACTATGTAGAATAAATGCAGGCTTAATGATGATAAATGTCTCTTCGCTTAAAAGTTACAGTAAATATAAAAAAATTACCGAACTTTCTTTTTAAAAACAAAATCTCACCTTGTTTTATGTCGCTTTTTGTGACAGGTGACGTGAGATTAAGAACAGAGTGAGCAGTACTCGTGAGTGCACTCAAAAATGAAGATCTCCAAGAAGAATAAGGCGGAAGTGGGGTACTTGTCTCTTTCAACCCCGACCCCCGGGATGCCTCCAGTGAGGAAGACAGGTAAGGACTTATAATGGCTTCGGATACCCTCAGTCTCTCGCTTTCATCATTTCCTAGTCCTAACAGCTCCTGAATAGCAAAAGGAGATCTCTGGGGTAACATTCTGTCTCGAGCACCCGTTCCAATGGAAGTTGGCGGGAAAGTATGCGCCGGAAGTCCTAGTGGAGCTGACATTCCAAGAGCCGCTACATAGGTAGGGTTGTGGGCAAAATTCATCATTTTCTTCTCGAAAAAATAATTAAAATCTGGCGTACCGTTCTAAAATTAATTGTGATTCTTTCAAAAAAAAAATTCTGGTTATTTCAACTTCATTGGAATGACTTCTCCAAACGGTCAATGCAATGATTTGCTGATTAACACGTCAGATTGCAATGTTTTGAAATCTTTATACAACGAGTATTGGATTATATTAATTTTTGTTACTAGCGAGCGGTGATCGAACGCATCCGCCCATTGTATCGGCAAATGGAGAGAAATCTCTGTCAATCAAAGGCTTGCCATTCAATTGTTATAGAATCTGCGAAATTGACTGGTTCCTTCCAGTCACATCGCCGCCTCAATCTGTCTGTCGGACATACTTTTAACAATAATTATATATACATGTAACTCAGTTTTTTTTCTAGTCTTTACCTTGTATCTTCTGACTTTATGTATGTACATGTATCTATGTAGGCACAAAAGATTCTGTATTTTTGTGTAGTTTTAATTAACCTACTTTCATGGATTTTCGAAATATTCCACAATTTGTTTCATATATTATTCTTATTACTTTTTAATAACATTATTTAATAAAAAAGAAATTAAGTCTATTAAACACTCTGTCTTACTTCATAATTACTTTTTATAACCAAATCACGTGTTTAAAAACGGAGTAACTAAGCAACATTAAACGCGGATATTTTGAGGATTTCTTCTTTCTTAAATAGACTTTTAATGAAGAAGTCCTTTTTGCTGTAGTGGCGGGTATGCGAGTATAGTCATTAACAGCAAAGAGAAGCAGAGATTCAAGAACTACTGGTGATCTGTTCATTAAACTCATATCAAAGTACTTTTAATTGACTCAATTTGGCTCGGTACTACTTCTTTCATCTTTGTCTTTTATAGAAAGCACACGTCGCTTTCCAACTTCTTCTAAAACAACTTCCTAATTGACATTTCCGAGAAGCATATACGAAGGAGACAATACCGTATTTTGGAAATTAACCAAAAATTGACTTGCTTTCTGGCTCATTTTTCTACAATGCCGCCAATTCTACAATAAGAGGAAAACATTTGTTTAAGAATAAAATAGGGGCATGTAAGCATTAAAATTAGTTGGTTATGAAGAAAAACGATTACACGACCGAATGCCTTAGCCGGAATAATGACATCAGATTCCGTTTGATGTATTTAAGGGACAGGTGACTTGTGCGTCTTGAATTACACCCGCTGTGCCGTGCAACGTCGCGTGCATCAATCCCCCGCCCCTCCCAATTGTTGGGGCACTTCCCCGCGGGTGAATGTGCCGCTACCTCTTCTGCCATTTACGCCGGTTGATTCGAACCGATAATTTGGCACTAATTATTCAAGTATCACCAGTCTAACTAAGGAAATGTTCCAGTGTAGAAACCGCGGGTCCCGCGCTCTGCTATGTAATTAGTAATAAAGCATCCTGATATTTACTCTTTTAAATAAAAAAAATAATAATAACTGTATAATATAATTTGAATAAAAAACTGTAACTTATTCCTTTGAATCATCAATTTAAAAGGTATGATTTTGAATATATAATTAAAAATCATTCATTAAAAAATAGGATTGGTCTTACAAATAAATATTATAGTCATGCATTATAATGATTCAAAACAGATTCAAAGGTTTTATGGACAACTGGGACAGTTACATAATGAAAAACGAAAAAAATATTTGATGTTTGGGCAGACGGTAAAATACGTAGGCAGAAGAAAACAAAGGGAACATATAGGAGATTGTAACATTACTCTTGTTTTCTTAATTTCTTTGAACTGTTATTCAATAATGACCTTCATGTGCCACAATAAGAGAGAGAGAGAGAGAGGTTTACTGCAAGACTCTAGAAGTCTTGATAATGAAAATATCTTCCATTTTATCTAAAAGCTGATAAATTAGTCTTTTAGATCCCCAAGTTGAACGAGCTGTGATATGAACACAGGGTGTGATTATGGCTGCAATACCTGCCAAGTTTTTTTCTTTTTCAAAGAATTATGTGTCAGAAAAAATTCTAGTAATATTGTCGCATTCTAGCATTCTTTTTTAATCTTGAGAAAAATTGAAACCAATCTAGAAAATTGATACCCCATTTAGGCTATTAAGGAGGCAATCATATATTTTAAACTATTAGGTGATTTTTTTTGCTCATTTCTTCTAAGTGATCATTTTAGAACCACTTATCTAAAAAGTCAACTGAATAAATTGTGATCATATTCAGAGTTACGCTAGCTATGTAATGTGACAAGATATATTCTAGTGAACAAAAACTTGGACCAAGTTAAAATGTAATCCGGATGACCCAGTTTCTTAGAGAACTTTCTCTTTTAATCCAGATAATCCAATTTCAAGATAGTCTTTCTTCAGAATCTCCATGCGGTCCATTTCTTCAGGAACTCTCTCTCTCTCTCTCTGACCATACTTGCAGATATAAAACAAATATTTGCTATTTATGTCAGCGAAAATAAGGGCAATAAATGTTTTATTAGTAATAATTTATTACATTTAGTCAATCATTTTGAAAAAGCCACGATTTTTATATCAAAGGAAAGTAGGACTAGTGCTACAAAGATGACAGAAGATGACTTTCTATGTCACCAAACACCAACTCATATTTCTAATTAAATTTAATGATTCTAAAATCAAAACCATGGCCTCAGATTTTATGTCCAAATACGAACATTAATACAACCTCTTCAGTTAATGATCAGCAAACTGTTATGTATGTTTTAATGTTACTTAAATTAACGATTTAAAGATTGAAAATGATCTTGTTTGAATAATAAATGATAACATAATTCGATTGTGTATTTTTTTCAATTGCTTACAGTGATCTAACTGAAATAATCAACTTGAATAAAGTTTCCAATTTTGTCAGTTTTAAAAAAAAAATGTTGCGTAAAGCGTAAATCTTTGCGCAAATTAACATCACAATATCTATCCATTCTCTTCTTTCGATACTTCAGAAAACATTTAAGCACCTTCACATATTTAAGTAATTCAAAGATTCCAAGTTTATTTGATCTCTCGATTAAAAAAACTATAAAAAGAAAAATGAAAAGAAAAATTGTTTATTGTTATATAGGCGAAAAGACGTAAGGTTATAGTGAGAATACGACAATTTGGGATATCCATAAACATAATTTATTTTTAGACTATATCTAATTACTATTGCGTCGTTTATTTCTAAATCTTTGTCCAATTACTTTTTTTTTCTTGATTTTTTTGTATGTTTTAAACTAACGAGATACATGAAGGCAACAAAGACGTAAACGTTACATTAACTTATAATTTAATCACGTCTGCTCCACATGTATCAAGAAGATATATTTTTGGGTTCCAAAATATCTAATTCTGTAATCTTCTATTTCAAGACGTAAATATTTCTAATGTAGTTCTCATTATATATATATATGCGAGATGTTTTTTCTTGAATCATTTTTTGTTTGTTTTGTTTTTGTTGTTGTTTTATTATTATTGTTATTATTATTATTATTTATTTTGTTTTCTTTTGTTTAAAAACTGTTTACCGTGTATCTGAAATAATAAGTCGTACAATTTTGAGTTCAATGAGATTAATAGTAAACAGGTAATTTTACTCGTAAACAATGGTCAAAAGTTATGTCTGTTTGAAAGTCTGTAAAAATGTTCAATACAATCGACATCATGGTTAGGGGTTAGCCAAAAGTAAGCTCCATCGTCGCAAACCATGGCAAAAAAAATTTATAAGCGGAGTCCGGACCGTGGCTCCAGACGAAGAAAATTTCTTTCACTACGTATTTCATAAATTAGATTTCACTTACAACTTACGTCTTTATTAAATCTGTCTTCTACTAAAAAGTTTCTTTACAAAAAGAGATATTGTTTTTCTGATAGAAATACAATGTATATCGCTTAAACCCAGGGAGAAAAGTCACAAAAGACATCTCATGAGAAGCAAAATGAAATAACCAATTAATATACACCTTGTACTTCAGGGTTTGTTTCAGTGTATGTATTTGAAATGAGTTAAAACAGTTAAGCAAAGAAGTTATCCATAAACAAAAGTAAGTTTCATTTTATTGAGATTTTGGTTGCAATTTGAGACAAAACAGATCAAAGAAAAGCTTTCGACGAAAAAACTAGATCATATGAGATACATTATACATATATGTTATTTTTAATAAATCTTGACAAATATTTAGGGTAGTCAATTCAATGTTAATGTTCTAGTGTCACCCAAAGTCGTGTCATTAGACTTAGCAATCTTGACATGACATCTAAATTAACACAATCATGAAATGACTTAAACACACAATACAAATCTCACAGGATGCAGTTGTGTTGAAGTTTATGCACTATTTCATATCTTGTGTGGGCCTAAGTTTTCTCTCCGCCATGTTTGGTGTATATATAATAATTCAGTATGGGTATAAGCAGAGGAGGGAAGACTAACAACAATACATGATGTACTTTCATCAATTACAGCATTAAATACATTTTCTATTAGATTATCGCCAATATGTACACTGGTTCAGTAAATAAAGCGAACCACTCATTAACAATTGCTACCGAGGGTTCCCTGATTAATTCCGCACGCAGATTCTTTATTAACTTCATTTTCTCATGAACTGCTCCAGGAAACCGTAGATTTTGCCTTAAAAGATAACCTGGTCTCCGTAAGATTAAGAAGCAATCAGCTCTTAGACTGAATAAGAAAACGTTCCATGCTGTTGTAAATTCATTAAAGAAGCCCCTCCAAATCCCTAATTTCAATTATTTAAATTTCTGGCTACTAAGCGTTATTCAAAAGGACCTCTTTCAAGTCACGAAACTGTTTAGAGAAATTGCCATTATTTCTACAAATGTCTAACACATAAACGTAATTTATAAAATGTTTTCTAATATGCGTTCGATTCCTTCAAGGGATGATAATGAAATAAAGAAGACGTGATTATTAATTGAAGGAAGGGTTCATCAAATTTTTTGTTCAATATGACAGAAATTAAACGATAAGATTTTTTAAAGAAAAAAATTATATAAAGTGCTTAGCGTAATGATCACTTTTTACCATCTTGATAACGTATGTTTTCGAC